ATTGTCCCCACCCCTCCATGCCATCCACCCCTTCTCAAGCTAACATTCCCAGCTCCTAGACACAGTCCCACAGTCTCTCCCGACCTCCCACCCGCCCTGTGGGCAATCTCTGCCTGGCGGCCCCGGGCTGCAGCGGGTGCTACTTGACTGTGCCGGGCCCCTCGGTTGCCTCAGACACTGCACTGCCCCTTCTGCTGCTGCCATTCACGGGAGCCACTGCTCTAATGGGACCCGGGGTCCTGGCCACTTTCCTGCCCCAGGCAGCTGCAGCCAGCCTGAGTCCCCCTCCGACACCAAGGCCGAAGGGCGGTCGTCAGGAAAGCTCCTCTCCCAGAGAGGCCTGAGGCCCCCCGTCCCTGCCTCAGGGGAGCCGCATTCCCCTCTCCCAGAGCCATGGAGCCCACGTGCTCCCCCCCAGCTACACTCACCCCGCACCCAGGCTGGAGTCGGGCCAAGCGTCAGCCTGCCACCCACCCGACAGCCCCAGGCTCTCTGCACACATCGGTGTCCTCACCAGGGTCTCGCCTCCTTCCCTGGGCCCACTTTCTGCTACCTCTGCCACCTCCCCTTCATGCCCGGGCTCCGTCAGGCTCCATCGGGCTGGCCTCACCACTCCAGCCCTCTGCAATTCCTCCTTCCGCCCCTGGTCCCCCCACCAAGCAGGGCACAAGGTCCCCCAGTGCTGCGCGGAGGTGGCCTGCTGCATGGTGCTCATTCACCAGCTCTGGGGCGTCCCGCTCCTCCATTCGCCAGCCTGGGCTATGGCTTGCCCCAGGGAAGCTCTACAGACAAAGCATTTTTTGCAGAAGAAACGCAGCCTGGAACACTCTGCTACTTCACGTGGCTTCCCACGGATTGCTGTGGCCAAAAGGATAAAGAACGGGGCAATTTTGAGCTAGATTCACGGGCGGCAGGCACCTCTCCCAGAGGAGAAATTGGTGGACAGCAGTGTGCACTGGGATCCTTTACTAGCACTGTGCACTGGGATCCTTTACTAGCACTGTGCACTGTGGGATCCTTTACTAGCACTGTGCACTGGGGGTTCGGCAGGGCGGGGGAGGGCAGAATGCAACCAACCTGCCACAGCGGCATTAAGGGAGACCCATGTCAGCACACCTCCTGTGGGTCCAACGCTCAATGTGTTGAATTAAGAAGCGTCACAGAACTAGCACTCGCTGGGCACTGTCTTATTTTGAGTGCCCATGTCTGGAAGTTGCTGATCTGATTCATCTTTCCAGGGAAGACTTGTGAGTGATGACAAGACATTCCATCAAACTTCATCTGCTTACAAAAATGAGACTCACTTCAGCTGGCCACTAAATCTCTGAGAAATTAGTCAGGCTTTGGTGACGTCCATGTTGAACCAAAATGACAGTTTTATATGGATTATGATTATTAATGTTTTTGAAGAATAGACCAAGTGAGCCAGAAATCCCGGGCTGCGGCTTGGAGACCACCAGCATAGGAAGGCTTCTCACTGTATATACAATTGGGGTTTTTTTGCACTGAGAGCAGATGCAACATTTTAATGTTCAGTTTGTGTTCTGGACTCCTTGATTTCTGAGCCAGGAGGTTGTGTCTCGACAGCAGAGCCATCAAGTAGCACTGGCTCAAGGGTGTTTTTTCTAAAGGCAGATTTGGCCTCAAAACATTCCACATTGTTCACTCACTGCAGCTCGAACCAACTGTGTTTACAAAGTGCCGGCGCACGTTGGAGCCGCAGAACACGCCCTCCAGAACTCACAAGCCTCTGCCCAATGCAGGCCAGGCGCGGTCGCGCTCAGCCTGTTGCGTGGTCTCTCTGCTAGTACCAGTCTTGTCGAGTCTCAAGTCCCTAAAGTCACTTTTGAGTCAAGTCCCAAGTCACGTCTCAAGTCTTCATTTAAAAAATGTCAAGTCACTTTTGTACAAGTCGTCAATATCGGCATTTTCGGACAATTTTTTCACCAAGTCGATTTAACAAAATTAGCAAGTCTCAGGTCGAGTCTCAAGTCACACACAATGAACCCAAGTCGAGTCACCTAGGCGACTTAAGTCGGACTCGAGTTCAAGTCATGGGACTCGAGTCAACAACTCTGGCTAGTACCAACAGTTTTCCAACAATTTCATTTGTTCTGCCTAAAACCAGGGATCAGGGAGGTACCTGAACATCAGGTAAATCAACTTCTTGGAAACATTTCCACCTCCCCCCGCAAAACCCCCTCAGTCAAAGGGCGTTTAACTGGGGGTCACATGCCAGCACAACACCTGTGCAGCTCCACTGGGGGATCCGGGCCTGGAGCCCCTCTTGCTGGCAGCACACCTCTGCCAAGGGGAGTTGTGCCCATGGGAGAGGGGCCCATGAGCAGTGCCCTGAGGAGCAGGGACTTGAACCAGGGCCTCTCCTGTCCCAGCTGAGGGCTCTCTCCTCCTGCGGGTGACCCCACTGCTGGTCGACTCTCCCATCATGTTGGCTGGCTGGTGTTCATGAGCCAGTTGGGGCCTATGTACATATTTTGCCCAGGACCCAGTGATGGGCTAATGGGGCCCTACCAGCAGCAGGCCCGACTCAGACCCAATGTGCCCCGAATCCTGTGAGAGCAGGCACAGGGCCTCCTGCTGGCCAGCGGGGGTGTGGGTGAGGCCTGGTCACGGATCCCCAGCCGAGCCCTTAGCCTCACACTCATGCAGGGTGAGACCAGGACACGCCCAACTTATGGGCAAAGGTCTGCAGGTGCCCTG